AACCTATAGCACCTATATATATAAATATATGTTAAATGCATTTTCTGTTGTTGTACACTGCCTCTGTGGTAGCGTGTTCACCTTAGAGGTTATGGGTTCAAACTAAAGACTGTAAAATTGGTATTAGCTGCTGCTTTGTTAAGCACACTGCATTAAGGATCGATTAAGAGCAAAGGCTGGTCGACTTGGAGTCGGAATGTCTTCCTGTGAACTAGCACGTTAAAAATCCGGCAACTAAAATGGGCCAATGTTCGCAATTGTTTCTCCATAGGCGGTAATGGTAACGTTTTCTTCTGCTGCTCAGTCCATATCATTAACTTGGATATGTATGATGGCTCGTTTCGAATCTTAGACATTTTCACATATGTGGTTAAATTTTCGGGGTACGAAGTGAGATTACTTTTTCCGTAAATTAGCAAACCCCGAAAATCCTTTCTTGATGCGGCTCCTCGTGGTAAAAAATTCCTTTTTTAACACAATAAGTTCTTTGAAAATTTAATACTTTGAACACATTTAATAGCTCCATAGTTGTTACACATTTATTCTATGTTCCCCTACTTTCTAAATCAACACAAATGGTTAAACTCAGTCACTTGTTTATCATAGAAACGTGTCAAATATCACGACGCAGAGATTTTTTGTTTACACACAATTTTTGAGTTCCTCATTTTGAGGCGCAATAGCGACATTGACCCAAATGCTCAGTAATCATTATCAACAGAAAGGCAGAGAAATAGACTTAATACAGAAGATAATTGTTTCAAGCATAATCACACTGACTGAACCCAAGTGTGATAAATCTATCCTAATGGAATACATTCTCAGTCTAGGAGACTATACTTCCTACTACATTCCAGCAGAATCTGAATTTCTGAAGAAAAATGATTATAGTGTCCACATTTTCTACATTGTTTACTATATGCTGGACATCTTCTCTGCTCACCATCATCAAATCCACAATAACTACAATCAGCATTTGTTGTCATATTTCTATCATTTCTATAACCTTGTCAAATTCCTGTGCCTGTTGTAATACCTGTTGCTCTTATTTGCTGAACGTATGCTGTGATTTCCTAATTCCGTGTCCTTCATCTGTAAATAAATGTCTTCCATTTGTCCAGCTTCTTCTTCAAATTTATCCAGCGTCCAACCTTTTGCTTATTGTCCTCTTTATCAGTTCCTGATTGTATAGTGTGGATACAATGTTCCAGTATTCTTTCCTCACATGTATCTTCAGATTCATATTCATGTGTTTTTTCTCTGAGTCTTATTACAAATGTCACTGTACATGTATTCTCATCTTTTAATGGCTTCATTTTTAAGAATAAATACCTGGCATGATGTTTGTTCCTCTTTGGCAAGTAATGCTTATTAAATTTGTTCTTTGTTATTTTATACTCATCTTCTCCTTCTTCATTTCTAAAGCTTCTTTCCAATCTTGAAATGATTAGTGCATCCTTTTCATCTTCAAGTTCAGTTATCATAAAATATCGAAATTCCCTCTCTATACTCTCCTGCCACCCCCCCCCCCCCCCCCTTTCCTCGTCGCCATATTCAGATGGTATTTTAATAATGACTTACAAATATACAATTGGTAGCGCCATAGCGACGTAACGTGATAAGTTAATGTCCCGAATGTTTGTGTGATACGTTCCCAGAATAATCTAAGATATTACATTCCTCCTTTACTTTGAATTGGAAATAACTATATAAATGTATATTAAAATGTGTAAAATAAAGTTTGTATACAAGAATTTAATTGTCACAGTATCTATAATGTTCACTTATGTTTTTGTGATAAAGATAACGTTCACATTCTCAATTTGTATAAATGAATTAAATTATCACAGTCTCTGAAATGTTCACGTATTCTTTTTTTTTTGTAAATAGAACAATGTTCAAATTCTCACTAATCACATAATATAATCTTTGACATGTTGAGGATCTCGACGGTATCTTTTTGGGTTATCATCTGGTTCCTCTGCTTGATTTTCCTGATTTCTTTTATTTCCCTGAACCCCCATCAGTTGATTGTCATGATATTTATATTTTCAATGGTTTTCCAAAATCTCTTTATCCATCCCCTCCCGCGCATGTCTTGCGGGGGCCCATTACTTTTGTCCTCCGCCCCGCCCAGCGCCTGTCTTGTGGGTGGACCATTTTTTTTATCGGCTTGTTTCTGTTCTCAGAATACTTGTTAATGTTCTCCTTGTATCGTCTATCTCTTTCATTTGTATCATCATATAAGTTTTCATCCTTGTCAGTCGTTCTCGGTATATACTCTAATTTTGTATCTGGGTGTGACGTTGAACGGTTACCCATAAAAATCTTCTCTATAGGTGTTGAACTGTCATTCTCTTGTAGATTTTCTTTTTGTTCTGTTTGGTAGATGAGTTTGATTTCCTCTGTCCTGTTCTGTAAATATCATTACATCTTTATGTTTGTCTGGTATCCTCAAATGATTAGGTTTTGTAAAAGAACCATCAGCTCTGATCTGTTACATTCCCAGCTCAATAAGGGTTGGCATGCTTATCAATGGTGGAGAATTAATTTCTCCCTTAACAACATGAAATTTTGTCTTTGTACCACATGTCTCATTTCTTATGACAGTCGTAAATTCTCACTTTATTGGTAGTGAATTTTGCAGTGTACTTAACTTGATTGTGCTACTATCTAACACTGGATTTCCATGTGGTTTCTTCTGAAACTTTTAAAAATTGATTCTCATCCATCACATTCACATCTGCTCCACTCTCAGGTTCAACTTCCACCTTCACATTCACATCATCAATTCTCACTGTTGCCGTTTTTTCAATATCTTTTGTTCCATGTATGGTCTTCACTTTGCGAATTTTCATTAGGTGCTTGGTAGTTTCTCCAAAATAATCTTCATCTTCTTCATAGTCTGATTTGTCTGTATTTGAATCGGTTTCATTTCTATCTTCTGTTGCTTTCTTCACATTTCTTCTGTTTCTATAGTTGACATCTGTTTTGTTGCTGATTATCGTATTCTACCTCGTTTCTCTTTTCTGTTCTGCATACTGAAGAAAAATGATTATAGTGTCCACATTTTCTACATTGTTTACCATATGCTGGACTTCTTCTCTCCTCACCATGATCAAATCCACAATAACTACAATCAACATTTGTTGTCATATTTCTAGCATTTCTATAACCTTGTTGAAATCTGTCATGTTCAAATTCCTGTGCGCTGTTGTGATACCTGTTGCTCTTATTTGCTGAACGTATGCTGTTATTTGTTAATTCCATGTCCTTCATCTGTAAATAAATGTCTTCCATTTGTCCAGCTTCTTCGTCAAATTTATCCAATTTATTAACTTTTTTTCTTTGTTTACACTGCTAATCTCTGCTAATTTCTTTGTTTTAATCCTCGTCGCCACTGAAAGATCCGAGCAAGACTTGATTATTCAGATGGTATTCTAATTATGACTAACAAATATACAATTGATAGCGCCGTAGCGACGTAACGTAATAAGTTAATGCCCCGAAGGTTTGTGCGGTACGTTCCCAGAATAATCGAAGATATTACACATTCCTGATTACGTTTCATAGAAAGAGCACATCTTTTTGCAGATGATTAACTTTGTCTGCACATCGTCTAGAAATCATAAGAGAAACAAAGTCTACCACCAAATCTCGTGCAATACGCATGATATTTCTCTACTCGCGACAGTTAAATTTTAAATATTTGAAACGCTCAGCGAGCCTCTCGTTTCAAATTTTGAAAATTTAACTGTCTCTAGTGAAGAAATATCGTATCACATTCTTGTAATAGTAAAATCTGTATATATCCAAAGCTGTGCGAATGTTCATTACATTCTTTAGGTATGACATAGAACTGGACAGTTGTAACTTGAAATGTGAATAGACAGACGGGCGAACAAAGTGAAACTATATATCCTCTGCATATGCAATGATGGAACTTGATTATGACAAAAAATCATGTAAACTTATTTTTATTTCATATAATGATGAGTACAGATATACAAAAGATGTTTATATTTAGACAAATGAAATTGAAATACAATATATTGTACAACAATTCAACATAATTTCGAATTTAGAAACTGACAAACTACGAATTTTAAATACACTCATACAAAATGAAATTTTAAAAAGTTTAGAAATTTCATTCATTACATTTTCTCTAAAAAATACATGATAATAAACAATCTATGAAACACAATATAATATATAAAAAAAAACAATACATTTACAGGCTTTGTGTAAGATCCTATGGCTTTTCTTAGTTCTAATGCCTGTAAAAATCAATTTAGTATTTTCCTGCAATGTATCTAATATAGGTCTATTTAATTTACTGTGGGGTTTTAGCGACACAAATATTAATGGTACCAATTTTACTACACAAGATGCACATTTCGACAGTGTAGTCTCTTCAGCGATGCCCGAGGCCAAAATATGTAAAATTCCAAAACCCAATACAAACGCTGAAGAGCTTATAAATCAAAAAGGGTTACTGAAAAGTAAAGCCATCCCTGGCATGGGATCAAAGCTATGCCTGAGGAAGATTATATAACATTCCTTAACTTTTAAATTATAAAATGTAAATGTATTTGTATTTTCCTTATACGTTTCCCATATTTGTTCAGGCTATTCCGGTTCAGTGTATTCCTCTATTTAGTTGAGTTGTAGACCTGTATTGTTCAAAACTTATTCTTGTGTTTTTAAATATATCTTAAGTTTCTAAACAAGAACATTCTCAATAAACATTTATATATTTATTATATACCAAGAACCAAAAATAGATTTTAATTTGAAGAACAAACGGACGTAAAAGATTTAATTTTAGAAAATTTCAAACACTTTTGTTGGGAGGGAAGTTATGCAATGTTTCGGATATATATTTATTTAAAAAAAACATATTTATAATTATAAAATATAATTTTTTTCTCTCTTAAAAATAAAGAAATGTTTTAGTAAATCGGTCATTAGATAAATTTTGGTGTTGCTATGGCGGTAAAGGAAGCGTAATGGCTGCCGCAGAAAGGACAATAACTACTTTGCACGCTTGAAGAACTTCTGACATCATTTTACCTAGGGCGTCTATATCCATCAATGCTAAGAAACCATACAAAAAAGACCAACTATTATTAGCGTTCTTTCGCATGAAGTTAAGAACATGTTGTTGGAAAAAAGAGATGCTATAAGCTATAATGTCTGCCTTGTCATCAGTTCCCGCTGTCTTAAAGCTCAATCATGCACCAAGGGACTCGATGGGTCCATTTAATCGCGATGATGGAAATACAAATACTTACGATATTCCATTAAAACAATATAAAGCAAATTACAACACACCAACACTTGGTGATATTCTCCGAGGTGCAGATTCAATAACAAGCATTACATTTAATTCCTCTGTTCTTCATAAAATCACTGATTCAGGTCAAGATGGATTAAGAGAATCTCCATCAACTGCTTCAAGATTGTCCCCTTTTAGAAATATTGCCTCGCCATCATACAACACCTTATTGACATCAACTGCTAATGCAAGACCAATATATAACACTAACAGGTCAGCTGGGAGTTCAAAAAATGAAAATCAGATTGTAGAAGATTCAGAAAGTTTACCGGATAGTATGAAGCTTAAAGGCAGTAAATATAAAGTGAAAGATAATAACTCCTCAGGATCCAAGGAGTCTAAAACCCATATAAGCAAAAAAGGTAATTTACTTCACCACTCTGGAGTTATATTTTATGAATGCGTTACACCGGTTGACCCGAGGTCAATCATCATAAACAACTTCATCGAACAATCACTTCTTACTGTGATGTAATAAAACTGCTTATGGGAAATAGACAACTTTTGAATTCGTGCACTTTCCTAAGCATTGTGACATAGGAAATTTACGGAAAATGCATGAAATTGAAATTCTTCTATTGTTAGGTACAAAAATATATAAGAACTAAGGCCCCAAAAAAAAAGATATGTCTGTTTAAGGTTACATACTTTAAAAAAATAGGCTAGGTAGGTCGGTATTTCCATTTTATTTTTTGTGACATGATTTTGAGTCATGCCGTTTCGTCTTGTTGTGGTCCGAGTTGATCCTTGGCCAATTTTTCCCATTATTTTAATGATTGGATTATTTCCCTTGGTTATTGGTTGGGGAAAAAATGGCGGCAAAGTGTTTATTTCATCACACGAGTCACAAATTTCCTTATAACAGCTGTCATATTCACAATTGTGAACATTGGGATGTATCAGGCAATTGATTTATATTTTTGGCAACACAAACTTCATTTATGACACGAGTTCAGTTAATTTTTGACTTTACGACGGAAATAAAATGACTTAGGGTCGGCGCTCAAAAGTAGGGTCGGTCGGGTAACCGTAAACAGACATATATTCTTGTTTGGCCTAAAGGGGTAGTCAAAACCATCCTCAATTTAGACTACTACAACAGTCGCGTGGGCGACCTAAAAACTCCACAGGTGACCTAAATTTCACTCTTGGTGGCCATTTGGCAAACATAACCTTTTGAACCTGGCGACCCTAAAGAAACAGTTCAGGGCCAATTCCGTTAGCCAATTTTCAAATGCATTTCTACTGCCGGATCAGCAATGAGCTTGCAAGTGGGTTGGTTTTTGTTGAGCCTGTGACTTTTTTTGCAAAAGCGAAACATAGCGATCCTACATTCCTTTGGTACATTGTAGCGGCGTCAGCTACAAATATTCATCTGTGGTTAAAGTTTTTGAAATTTTAATAACTTTCTAAAACTATGCTGGATTTCTACCCAACTTCGACAGAAGCTTGTTTATGCGCGCTATATCGATCATAAGATATAGTATCCAGAAGTAAATTTTGTAAAAAAAAAATCCTGTTTTTTCATATTTTACTTATAAATGGACTTAGCTTTTCTGCCAGTTAACATTACATTCACTCTGTGGTTCAAGTTTTTAAAATTTTAATAACTTTCTTAAACTATCCTGGATTTGTACCAAACTTGGACAGAAGCTTGTTTATGATCAAAAGCCAGTATTTAGACATGTTAGAAGGAAATTTTGTAAAAATATATTTCCTGTTTTTCCGTATATTACTTATAAATGGACTTAGTTTTTCTGCCCGTTAACATAACATTCACTCTGTGGTTAAAGTTAAAATTTTAATAACTTTCTTAAACTATCCTGGATTTGTACCAAACTTGGACAGAAGTTTGCTTGTTTATATCAAGAGCTAGTATCTAGAAGGAAATTTTGTAAAAATATATTTCCTGTTTTTCCGTATATTGCTTATAAACGGACTTAGTTTTTCTTCCAGTTAACATTACATACAGTCTGTAGTTAAAGTTTTTAAAACATTTATTAGATTCATGAACCATTCTGGATTTTTACCAAACATGGACAGAAGCTTCGTACAATCAAAAGATAGTATCTATAAGAAAATTTTTAATAGGTTTCCCCCCTTTTTTGTTGAGCCTGTGACTAGCAGCAAAAGTAGGCGAGACACTGGGTTCCGAGGAACCCTTACGAAATTTTTAAGTGTCAAGCGTTTCATGGACTATGAGTAACGACAGCCATTAATTGAAACAACAATAAATTTGCTAAAAAAATATAAAATGTTAAGAAATGAAGACACTTGAAATGATTTGCTCACAATTTTGGCAAGGGAACAGAGATAGATATGTTGGCTATCGATGTCTAAACTGCTGTAGATGAGACAAAAGGGATTAATTACGAAAAAACACCTCAAACTGGAGAAAGGGGTCAAGATGAAGTTTTCCCGAATGCCATTCTGTGGTGTTGCACAAAAAAACACAATGCACGCTGGCAAAAAAAAAAATGTTTAAAAAAATCACTAGTCTACCTACCTACCCTATAATATTTTGGTATGCAACAGGAAACACCTTTTTTTTTGCACAAGTACACACAATAACCATTAGAAATAAGCTGGTCTAATGTTTTATTAACCACCACCATACATGATCATGTACAAAATGTAAGTCTATTGAAAAATACTAAAATATGCTCTCTAGGACTAGTCTTCAGGTTATGCTCTTTCATTATAGCAAATTTCTTAGGTGACCTGAAATTACTGCCTGGTCACTTAAATTATGAATTGGTCACTGAAATTTAATATGTGGTGGCCAAAATGGCAACCTTGTTTTTTAACCTACTTTGAGGGCAATCCACAGACACAAATACCTCGCCAAAAAACATCTAGAGGGCAACATACAATCTTCACAAATGACCGGTATTTATACAATATGTTGATCTTCCAAAGACTAAAAAAGTTGTAAATAGATTAAATCAAAACTCTATTAAAGAGTCAGCAATTAGCACTAAATTCTACATTTAAAAAAAAGCATTCAAGATGACAAAAAAATGTACGTGTCTGCATGTATGACATACTCCTTAGTCCAGGCCCTATCTTAATCATTTTCTACTGGAAATTATACATGCTTATGAATTTTAAGATACTGTTAATTCAGAGATTAATGCATGCATTTATCATTGCGAATGTTTGACTACTGACTAAAAAAAATGTGATATCTTAATAGACAAGGGGTTTTTAATTTATTGGTTTACAGATTTTTTATGTGAAAGTTTCGGGTTGTTCGGGGAAAAATAGTTAAAGAAATATTTCACAAGACATGGATATGTATAGAATTACTTAAATTTTAATGCCAAAAAAAATGTTCTCATTTGTTTGAAACATGCAATGCGTGTCATCTTCATATAAGTTTGTAAAAATTGGGATTATGTGCACTTTCAAATGGGATATATGAAAAAAAGTCATATCACAATAAAGAAAAAATTAAATACATAAATTGTTTGTGGTCATGATCTTCTGTTACTTTTTACTTTTACGTCTTTTCCATTTGGACGGGTCCATTTCATATATGAGGATCACAAAATGAATATCTTACGGAATTATGACAGAAAAGAAAAACAGTCTTATTGTAAAGGGTTATTTACAATTGATTTCTTTCTGTAGAATTATTTGTGTACACAACATTTCCAGATCTGTTCGATTGTCTAATTTTCTAATTCTACTTTTAAGAACACAAACGAAATAGATTATTTTGAGATTTTTATTTAACGCAATGAACGATGTATTATCAGTTCTGTTTATGTTTAAAATTGGTATGAGAATGCTCATAATTTGAGGTAATTACTACTACGCAGATATTTTTATTCATATATCAAGGTAAATGAACTTGGTAGATAGGCACGAATAAAAAAAGTATGAAATTTCAAGTTTTTTTTCTCTGAAAATCAATAAAAAATTATGTCGGGGGGGGGGGGGGGATATGTAAACCAACAAATTGAAAAACCTTGGCCTTATTAATGCCAATTCAAAATTTTATGAAGGAAAAAAACTACAGAAATTAACAATCCAAGTATTAATTAGTGTGAACTTGATCGATATATTCACATTCTTTGCATTAATTAAAACAATGCAATAGTTTCTAAATTCATAAAATAATCGAGAAAAAAAAAATTTAATATTCTACAGGAAGAAGAAGCAGAAAAAGATCAAGATCAGCAATTGGAAGAAGTAAAGGTCAAAATGTTGTAGATCGACTCTATCAACCACCAACAAGTAATGGTACAAAGACGCCATCTAGTAAACCAGATATTAAATTAAAACCACAACATAATGATGTAAGAGATCCGTCTATTGGTAATGGATTAAGTCTTGGTGCTATGCAAATATCTTTATGTAAACCTGTAACTATTCATAACAATAAGCCAGATAGGAGAGATACTAAATCTGAAGTGCCGAGAAGGTATAGCGAAAGAGTTTATACTGCGTCAACATCAAAATCTCTCGTTCAAAAAGAAATTGTGGATGTTCCAAAAGAAGCTGTGGTTTTACCTCTGGTGACAAATAGTTCACTTGTGAAATCAATTACACAGACTGAAATTGTAAGAAGGACTAACAACTACTTCTCACCGTCAACACAGAAACTCCCAATGCATATGGGAGGGTCAGCGATTAAAAATCAAAATCAGTCTGATAGTGCTAACAAAGTGACTAAAATATATCTTTCTGACAAACACTCAGGGACAGTGAAGGATTGTGGGATTGAAATTCCATGTGCACCACCTGCCACACCTACAGCAGGTAAGGGTTAAAGTTGAACATACTCTTTTACTACAGTCCGTGTATGGAGTATTATACCATACACCATGAAATATACACCATACTAAGACAATTCCCATACACTGTAAAACATATACTATAACACCATATACTTATACACCGTTAACTTTTCCCCATACACTATTACCCATACACCATGCTCCATTTCACCATACACGTACACCATACATCATACACTATTTTCAATACACTTTACACTATTCCTCTTTCTCCTTTCCTATTTGAATCAAACATGATTTGCATCATTCAAAATTACCCACAATGAAACTTTTTTGATGTACATTTTGTAATTGCAAATTTCAATTTACATATGTACATTTTGTATCTTCAATTTAAAAACTGAAATTTAAACACCCTCATGACCATACATAATTTCCTCATTATATTATATATTCATATCACAAAAGATATTTTTCATTCTGAATTTCAAAGTACAGCGAAAATTTTCTAGAAAACCACTTGAAATTAAAATCCAATGGTCATGATGGTATTGTCTGCTTTTATTGTTTTTTGAATGCTCTCTGGATATCTTATCTGTCTCTTTATTGCCTGTTATTAACCGTGTGTGCACATACATGTACATTTTGCAGGAGTGGATCCAGCGATTTTTAACAGGGGGTGTTCCAACCCAGGATAAAGGGGGGGGGGTTCCAACCATATGTCCCAATTCAAAAGCATTGATTGTCAAAAAAAGGGGGGGAGGGTTCCAACCCCTGGATCCACCACTGTTTTGTTTTTGTACATTTGTACATTATTTCCAATCTAAATATATGCTAATTATATGATATACATAAAATTGAGAAAGGAAATGGGGAATATGTATAAGAGACAACAACCCAACCAAAGAGCAGAAAACAGCCGAAGGCCACCAATGTGTCTTCAACACAGCGAGAAAATCCTGCACCCGGAGGTGGGCTTCAGCTTGCCCCTAAATAAAAATGTGAAATTGTTCAGTGAAAATATCTGTCATACTAAACAATGGTGTACTTACATGCATGTATCATAAAAATCTAATACAAAACAAGGAAAACAAATTTTTTTAACACAAAATGATATACAATGTATACCAAATTGGTCATACATTTTGTGTAGTTTGTTGCAATATGGATACATTTGTATTAATCAAATGTAAAGTTTATTATCGAGCTTGTTATTTCTGTCACAGAAAGCAAGACATAGGGATAGTCAAGTGATCCGGTGGCGGAGGGGTTAACTAACTTCTTAAAAGCTTAATATTTCAGAAGGTAGAAGACCTGGATGCTTCATACTTTGTATATAGATGCCTTATGTTATGAAGTTTCAGCATGTGCACTCTTGTTATATTTTCTGAACACCTATTTCATTAGTTTTATGCATGAATGGGCATAATTAAGATCATGGAATTTGAAAATACAATGCACATGTATGTACAAGTATGTAATGTATCTGGTAAATATATGAATATTTCCAGATTTTGACTGCAGGCCATGCATTTAAAGTGTAGTCACCCACTGACCTGGGCCCTCAAACAGGAACATTGCAGTTGTTCTTTTGCATCAAAAGATTGTCATGATTGTTGAATACTCCCAACTTCACAACAAAGGTCATCAGATTTATTGTCCCTGTATCTTGTAATATGTTTTGAATCCCTTTAACAATGACATGTACATGTACATGTACAAAACATGACAACATGTAAATGCATGTTTATTAGGTTGGTTCATTTTCACTCAAGCAAATTGTTAACCTAAACAAGTGTCCTGCTAAAGATTTGAAGTGGACAGCCTATATCTAATTGACAAAAGTAAATGGCACATCTGTGATATATAACTCGGATATTTGTCATGTTTGTGAGCCAAAAATTTTAATGTCAACAAAATGTTACTACAAAGTCTGTAAATTTGTTTGTAAGGTACATGTACATTTGTAGGTCCATTCATTTCATTAATATTATGTAAAGTATAAAATGTAGATGACATCTGTATTGGAAGTCATGTCAATCAAATATATATACAATTATATATACATGTATTGTGTAAAATCTAATTATCAGTTGGACTTAAATCGTGAGTCAAGAACAATAGAATTTTACTCTTCAAGCAATTAAGATTTAAAAAGTCATTAGTTTGTTTACTACGTACAGTAACCACATTTTTATTTCAGAACCATAATTATTGGTTTTTAAAATTAAAACTTTCATGACTAAGTTATTTAAAATAAACATGCAATTTTTTAATGCTTTTTCTTTTATCATGCATGTTTACTTTCAATTACTAATTACATATATAATGGAGCAAATTGCATTGATTATGATAATAATTTTTTAAAGATTTTAACCGTAACAAATTTGGAATATTTTATGCATACATGTACAAAATCTAAAGCTGTTTCCAGTATAGAAATGTATTTTAGTCTTGGAAAATGATTTAGTTGCAATTGGCTTTGAATAACTGCAATTTCTATGTACTCTTGGATCATTGCCTGGTGTTTAAAATTTAGTCTTTTTATTAGTTGGTTTTGGTGCTTTGTGTCAACCAAATGAGTCAAGCCTTTTTCAACTGATGTTTACAGTTAGCTCTAATCTTGTGCTGTAACTAATCATATACACTATTCAATTCTAACTATATCTTCATTGTGCTGTGCCCCCAAGGGTGACTGGGGAATAGAAGTATGGTCACCATTGGTCTTCCTCCGACCGGCAGTAAAACCCTTGCTAAAGTGGGGCGTCCATTTGGCTGTGCGGGATGTACAAATGTACAAATTTGCAGCAACGTCCGGTCAGAATTGGGACAATGCCTCGTGTAAAGAGAGTGCCATGCTCTCTGCATGTTAAGAACCCTTGCAACAACTCTTTGAGGGGTCCGTAGGTGACCTGTTGCAAGGCTAAATTTCTGTCCCTATCCAATATACCCTCATTTCCCGTGGCAGTCTAAATTTCTCCGACCTTAAACCCGGACGCCCCTATTACAGAACCTACCTATTGTGTTTATTGTTAATTTGTTCTCGTCCTGAATATGCATGGAATATTTGCCACTGGACGTTAAGCAACCAACAATCAATCAATCATTGTGCTGTACACCAATGTCCCAGTCTATGGGGAACATGGGGAAGGTTACTTTAGTGCTCACAAACATGTTGCAAATTCCCAATTCAGCAATTTTGAGCAACTAAGGGGGAATTTGTGTTTACTACACAATGTATAGCAACATTTCAATTAATTAATAAATTGACACAAAACTTCTTCTTCAGTTGTTTAAGGAATGACTGTAATATTTTTTCTGTCTATGAAGAAATAGCATAAAAAATATGGTCCACACTGAATAACCCGCGTAGCGGGTTATTTAAAAATGTGCACCATATTTTTTATGTTATTTCTTATAAGTTAATTCTAAAAAGGAGTAAATCATGATAAAAACGTTGATGACATCGCGGTCACATGACAAAATTATGTCTATGAGCTGATAGACAAAACTCTTTCAGCCAATCAGAAGATGTGTTACATCCAAAATTAAATTATTAGAGGATGATGATGACATTTTATTGGTATTTGTTTTCATTATTACCATTTACCATAATTTTTTTGCAAAATTTTAACTAATATGTGTACATGTACATGTATCAGACTTGGACTTCTTTTGAACTGAATTTATTTGTGTGTATACATTGTAACTGTGTGATTGTTTATTCCACATTGGCTAGAGGTACATGTACATGTAAATGGAATTTTGAAAGATTTAATTTAACTAAGTTATAATATTATTATTTATTTATCTTTATAAACATTATTATTTTGATGATCATCATATTATTTTTCTAAAAGATGCATGGCTTTAGCGGGAAAATGTATACATGAATTAAACTTTTGCCTCATGCTGTCTTATACTTTTAATGTCCTCAGTAGAACATAATTAGAAATTCTACTTAACAATTCTAAAACATATAAATTTTAAAGCTCTGCAGTTGATAATTATAACTAGTAAATAAAATTCAAATGGAACGCTTCATTATATTTGGCACATTGCTCTGCAAGGACTTGTAATAAAATTGTGAATGGAAAACAGGGAATGCATTAACAAAGAGACATCAACTTTACCAAAGAGCAGAAAACAGCCCAAGGACACAAATGGGTCTTCAACACAGCGAGAAAATTCCGCACCCAGACAGGTTTCAGCTGGCCCCTAAACAAAAATGTATTCTAGTTCAGTGAAAATGGACGTCACATTAAATTCCGAAACCTATAATGTACCAAAATTTAAAAAACATACAAGACTAACAAAGTCCAGAGGTTCCTGACTTGGGACTGGCACAAAAATGGGGGGGGGGGGTTAAACATGTTGTGAGATCTCAACCCTCTCCCTATACATTGTACATGTAGGTTGTCTGGCAGCTGGCTGACTGCACTATTCATGCTATATGTATATACTGTACATACATTGGCTTTGTAGTTGTCGAGCAGCTAGCTGTGTGCACTATATATATATATATATATAAATTGGCTTTGCATTTGTGTACAGTTGCTCCTAATTATAAACTTCTAATAATACATGTATATAAAGATTATCATATTTGATTGTACATGTATGTATGTAAATTTGTGTTAGTTTTTGTGGTCTCTGATGGATTTTGTCAAAATGGATAACTATTAAAAAAAATTCTAATCTTTTAATTGTATTTAACATGATTGAATGGTCTGGGGTATTTAGATTCTTGATAATAATGTCCTGATGATCAAGACAAAGCCTTTATGATTAAGAAAAGTTATTTAATCTTTTTCTTAAACATGTAAATTAGTTTTCACTTTTTACATTATAAACTGATAATAAGATTTATTTCCTAATAACTTTCAAGCCATATATAAAAATCAATAATAGTTCTATAATTATGCCACTTACAAGTACAGTTTACGATATAGTACTTTGTGAAACATTTAAATTTTATACCAGGTTTTTTTTCCTATACCAGTTATGTTAATTCATTGAAAAGAAAAGTTTTATGTTGATTTCACCTTCGTCAAGAAAAAGACGATAAATGTTTGACTTGTGATGGGAAAGTTATTTTTATCACTGAGATACATACCTGAACTACCTGGATAGTATACGGTGTTATGTTTGGATAATTGAATCATTTATTTGTGTCAGAATAATAATGGCAAGACCTGGGGTAAAATTGCCGTCAATATTTTATGAAACAAAAAGCTCAAAGAGAAAGAAGACTGGTGGTAGTAAGTGTTTACTAAATTCCTTTTGTTTACAAGTATAAATGCTTAGATACATGCAAAGTATATATTTATATATATACAAAAACATACATGTATATTGTAGATCAATATTTGCTGATGTAATTGATGAAATATTGATTAAGAAATTTTAAACATCTTCTGTGTTGAAAAGAAATTCCAGATTCTTTAAAGTCATAATGAGGCTAAAGAAAAATTGTTAAATGTATAAATTATAGTTTTGAAATTATTTAACAGTTTTTACAGTAAATGAATAATATAACATGATACAGTACACACAAAAAAATAAATAAGATTCTTTCAAAGAAGCTTAGGAAAATTGTTGAATGTATTAATTATAGGTTTGAAATTATTTAACATTTTGTAAATGAACAAAATAACATGATACAGTACACACACAAATTATGATTCTTTTCATAGAAGCTTAAGAAAATTTGGCTTTGAAATTATTTGACAGTTTGTAAATGAACAAAATAACATGATAATCTGAACACATCTTTGTGATTTTCACACGCAGTAAATTCTGGTGATTTTTACGGATCCACTCTTAAATATATCTCTGTATTGCCATATGTATACATTGTATATGTATAAACAGTCATTTTGGGGCCTTTTATAGCTTACTGTGCAGTATATGGGTTTTGCTCATTGTTGAAGGCCGTATAGTGATGACCTATAGTTGTTAACTTCTACATCATTTGGTCACTGGTGGATAGTTGTCTCATTGGTAATCATACCATATCTTCTTGTTAAATGCTCATGGTGTATAATTATAGGGTCATAAATCGTAGTTGTAGTAATCCGAAAGTCCAGCGATCCCCCAATTTGGGACTCCTGTAGGGTATCTATCCCCTTAGGTCACAAGGTGACGCTTAAAAATTGTGTCAAGTCACCAGGTAACTTTTTAGAAAAATTTGACAGGTTAATGTTTAACCATAAACCTATAGATGTAAAAGGTCAAGGTCCTTTTAAATGAGATTCCAAGTCGCAATGTTGACTGCCAAATGTTTTCCACACCCACCCATGCCAGTGACCAAGACATAAACACATTTTTGCTTACTTATATTCATGTTTGTGATGTTATTAGTAAAAGTTTCATAAATGGCTGAAATCATATTTTATATATTTATTTATTGTCCATAATTACTTGATGTAAAATTCTTTACCCCCTTCCCCCAATTGTTTCAGGACATGTTTAATGTCTGGTTGCCAGAGGTCATGGATAAATTTATTCTAAAGTGTTAAACGTACAGAAATAAAAATTACTATATTTTTCATACAGCTTGTAGAAAAAAAAAAAAAAATAAGAGATCTTGAGTCAGAATAAAGTGTTGTATATTTGTGTGACATGCCTTTCTGTGGAATGTTACATCGTCAGCTAGCATGTTTAAAATCTTACTCAGTGTGTATCTTTCTAGAACTACACAGGCTCAGATTCATATCACATTAAATGTTGTCATCCAGAACAGTTTGAAAGATTGCCCAAATGAGACAATAAGTGTCTTAAATTATGATCATCTTTGCTAGGTCTATAACTCTTATTTCATTACTTCTTTTTCCAGAACAACTGAGGAAGGTGGAATATATACCTAGTCTAACTGATATCAGGGTAAGTATAGCAAAGTTAAACTCAAAGGATTGATCATGTCTTTCTCTAATTTTCATGCTTTTTTCACATTTCTCGATTGGTGTGAGAAAAATGTTTCTTATCTCTAGATAAAACTTTGTTCTCAGCTAATGATTGGTCAAATTTAATTATGACGTCAAATTTTCTTGGTTTCTTCTGAATTTCCTATTGTGACGTTATGAAAAAAGGCGACCATGCCTGATGATGTCACATGAAAAGAACACAACTTTCTGCAAATCTTTGAAAAGGAAGGATAAGCTTTGTTCTTTAAATCATTATAGAAACAGATTCCAACACTATAACTCATGTATTACGATATTTCTCCACTCTCAACAGTTAAATTGCAATTATTTAAAAAGCTCGAAATATAAAAATTTAACTGCCTGGAGTGGAGAAATATCGTAACACACTTGATGCAGTGGTGGAATCTATATACCTACACATGCACAGCTGTCTTCACATTGAATAAACTTTTGAATAGACAGGACCGAAGCTGAATTGTAAGAAAATTTTAGTTAGATTCTATTGGCCTGTAGACATGACTTCACAGGCACGATAGCATCTTTACAAGCCTGGGCAGGTGGGTTTTTGGTTGAGCGTGAAGAGTGAAGACGATGATGAACAATTGCAGTTTAATTTCCAGTTGCAAATCAAATGCATATTTAGGATGAGAACATGTTAATGGGGTATGCATATGAACCCTACTTTGTACTAGACCAACACACTCAGTCGAACTTTTAAAATGCTCGTTCACAAGGTAACAGTCAGCTGGATGATTCTCAAAAGAATATTAAATTACAACAAGTCTTGATGATGTTTTGAGAAGATTCATTGTGAATATTCATCCTGGCCACCCCTTTATGGAGCTACATATATGGTTTATAATGCTTAAAAAAAATGAGAATGGTATAATTACCAATGAGACAACTCTCCACCAGAGACCAATGACGCAGAAGCATAGACTATTCACAGTTCCACCTCCTAAAGTTGTCTTCTTGGTGAGGATTTCAAAATCCTGGATCAGCATCTGGATTCCTTTGTCATTTTCAATAGAAAAATAAATATGTGCAAAAGTAATTATACTCATATGTATTACCTTGAATATCAAGAGAGATAACACACCTTGTGCAATATTTTTAACTTTTTTTGTGGCTGACATTCATTATTTTATCATTATCTTATTTCAGTCTCAAAGAGCAGTAAAAGTTAAATTACAGGTGCTAGAGAAAGAAGCTCAGAAAAGAATGGAAAAGCAACAGATTGAAAGAGATAAAATAGAAAAGCAGAACAAAAAACTGATGGAAAAGGATTTAAAACAACAACAGAGGTTACAGGTAAAATTGCAGATTTGGTTAAATGATAAATTTTGTTTTGAAAATCCTTTGAAAACTAGATTATTCATATAGGTCAGTTACAAAGGTCTTTTAGGAAGGTTGCAACAGTGGCAATTTTAAATATTTCTCATACCATATCATTAAATTGTGTTTTTAATATGGTCAGTATCAAAGCTGAGTCTCTTTTTGAAATTTGTGAGGTGTAGTGTATGATAAAATGTGTCAGTATATAGCAAACCCTGATAAAAAGAACAATTACACGTTTGAAGTTTACTTCTTTTGGAACATTTAATGAAGCAAATGCAGTTTCTGTTATAAAAATAAGAAGATGTGGTGTGATATTCAATGAGACAAATTTCCACAATTGACCAAATGAACTTGAAGTAACCAACTATAGGTCACTGTTACATAATGGCCTTCAACAATGAGCAAAATCCATACAACATAGCAAGCTATAAAAGGCCAAGACAAGACAAAATGTAAAACAATTCAAATGAGAAAACTAATGGCCTGATTTATATACAAAACAATAAATGAAAACAAATATACTATATATACAGCAAAAAAATGACAGCCACTGAATTTCAGGCTCTTTACCTGGGACAGGCACACACAGAATGTAATAAATGATTTATTCTTCAGACCTTTCCTCTTTAATTGCACTTATAATTGATTTCTTTCAATTCTTTAGATAGCAATATGCTCATTTTATACATGAATTGCTGTTAAATCATAAAATGTATGTTCCTAACTTGTGCTGACATCCTTTCATGTAATAGAAATTTTAAGCTCAAGAACTTTTAAAAGCTAATTTCTTTTCTTTTCTGTTTACTTCATTTTTACCAGAAGGGTAAGGAAAAAAATCTCTTTTTTTAATCTTTCATTTTTTACAATGAAAATGATAAATTACTACTGTTTCAAATGAAATCTCTTTAGACTGATAATGGGAGATAATCCAAATGTTCTAAGATTTGTTAAAAATGGGAGATAACCCAGATCTTCTGAGATTTCTTTAAATTTGGTGAAGAAAAATGCACATGGTAAACAGACAAAACTTGGTTAATAAAGTTTTTTTTTGTATATTTTTCAGATTTATGCACTCAATAAAGTTATGACAGAGTTAGAGAATTCAAGATTTAAAGAATTTTGTGCCAAGAAGGGAATAAAAATGTCTTGATAGTAACCCACCATAGGATTTAAACGATTACTCAAAACCAGGGCTTTCTTTACTTGAATTCTGTGAATTCAACAATTTTGCTAGTATAATTTATACGACCAGCCATTGATAGTTCAAAGAGCAACAGTGGCTTCTTCAATCCTTGGATGACTTAATTTTTAAATATTTTATATTTTTTAAGATAGTACGTATTTTTAAAATTTTTGTATGACATATTGCTAAGAGAGTACCAATGCATTTTTTTCTACGACATACAGAAAAAATGGCAGCATGTTAAGGTCGTGACGTAAAACGTGAGATCTTTTATTTGTAGAAGACAATTTAGTAAATTTATTGTTTGAATCATGATGATTTGTTATTGATAGTTCATTTGTGAAAAACTGCCACTTTGCACATTAATATGTTTTTTCTATATCATTTTTAAAAAATCAGTATCTAAATAAAAACACATTTGCTATCACATAACATCTATTTAGATATTTTAAAACTGTTTATATTGTGAATTAAATTTTAAGAAGTATCTGATTCTGGTATTTATATAGTCCAAACAAATGTTTGTGACTTTAATTTTAGATAATGTGAATATAGATCGTCATGTATATGTCAAACATGGATTTAAAAAAAAAAAAAGACTTCACTAAGACATTTAGTTGGTTTACAGTATTGTGATACAAAAACAAATATATTGTTTGATATTCTGTATTCATTGTGAGGTAATTTATCAGTCACTTATTTGTGTATTTGTGTATTTTATATGGATTAAAATCATTATGACTCCATGGAAACAAAAACAAAGTCACTTAATATGGAAAAATGTTATCACTCAAACTGGTATTTATTACAAAGATATACATTATCATCATATCATTAATTAAATCTGAAAACTCATCTCAGATTGACAATGGGAGATAATCCAAATGTTCAAGATTGTTAAAAATGGGAGATAACCCAGATGTTCTGAGATTTGTTTTTTGGTGATGATTGACAATAATAATATTTCTAAATTAATGAAATTTTTGCTTTGGTCATTGTTTATCACTTATTTTAAGGTCATCTTTGTTTAAGAAACTAAATAGATAATATGTACTATCAATTTATTAATAGATTTATCTAAACTTGTTCCTAACTTTCTTAGGAAAAGGAGAGTCGAGTGAAAAAAAATTATATTTGAAATAAAAATCTTTAAGGGATTATTTATTTTCACATTTTTTCCAATTTGATAATGAAAAAGACAAATATCACTCCACTCAGGAAAAAAATCTATTTTTTATCTTTAAATTTGTCAATGAAATGGACAAATTATTACTGTTTAAAAAGAAATTTCTTTAGACTTATAATGGGAGATAATCCAGTTGTTTTAAGATTTGTTTATAAATGGTGATGATTGTGAATAATTTCTACATCAGATAATTAGAATATTTGAATGTACATGTAGTTATAAATTATTATAAGGCTATAACTTTTGAATTTCTTTTAATATACAATTGCAAAATGTTTGCAGTTTGTGAAAAGATCAAATGATGTTAATGAATCTTGATAATCAAAATGAAAAATAAGTGAAGCAAGAAATGAAAGATGAACAAACAGTTTAAAAAAAACATAAATCACCCTTAAACCTTTCTAAATGGGGTACAAATGTATGTAGCACACTAAAAAATGCTTTATAGGCTTCACAACAAATTTTTATAATACAAATATGAAATTAAAGCACAACTTATTCATCATGTTCATAGAAACTGTAAGTTTTAGCAGGTGGCATCTCCTGTTTTTGCAAGAAAAAATAATTTTATAAAATCTATTGGTTCAAGTATACTGACTATTCTATCTCAAATTAAAGGGTCAGAATATTAATTGAACAAACAAACTGATATTCCTTTTATAAAGGATTTTTTCATCATTATAATGTTATGTATGAAGTCACTGTCTAATCTAAGAATCCTTAAGTGTTGTCATGTGGCCATTCTTGTCAAAAGTAATTAAATGTGCTATCCTACAACATCAGAATTTTTAAAGACTCTTAAGGTTAATTTATTGTGTCCATAATGTGAATTTAACTGTTATCATTTAATTTAACTGTTATCATTTAATTTTGCTGTTTCTTTGATTACATGCTGGTTTTAAAAGGAAGTTAACTTATAACATTACATTGAGGAATTCGTGAAATCTTAAAAAGTTTATTTGTCAGCAAAAGAACTCTGTCCTGTGTTTCATCACAGATCTTACAACTTAAGTAGATTGTATGTATACTAAATTGTTCATCAAATTTAGTCTTAAGAATTTTTACGACTGTTAGGCCTGGTGCTTACTTTGAAACTTTTTTCAATTGTTTTGCTGCCAGTATAATTTGTTGTGGTTGTTGCTTTTTACATATTGTTAATGAGTGCACAAGTACTTAATTCTTGTTAAAAATCTGTTATAGCATGTAAAGTGAATATGGGTAAGGCTATTGACCAGTTACACTGTGTACTATGGAATCGTTTATTTTATGTGGATAATAATTTTTTGGGAAATGAGAAAAACTTGCATTTTTCGTGGATATTTGATTCATGGATATGTCAATTCTGCAAAGAAGCCAATTTTTTTTTAATTAGTTGAATATTCAAATTTGTGGTTCACCTGTGACATGAATCCCATGAAAATTGTTATCCAACGAAATAAATGAATAGCAGTTAATTTATTGGAGATGAAATATGGGTAAGGCTATTGACCCGTTATACTGTGTATGAACAGTTTATTTGTTTAAGAGGAAATGTTGTTGTGTTTGCACCAGTTGATTTATGTTTTTGTCTGCTTGATACAATAGCCATTGCTTCAATTTGTTGATAACTTTTTTTAAAACATCAAGCAAGGAGATGATAAGAAAATTCAGTTTTTAGGCCATGATAAAAAAATAATACTATGTTTTTATTCCCCTCTCCTTGCTATTTTAAGAGCAACAAATATTTTGGGCTATTTTCTTGTATATTACAATAATTTTTCACCAAAAAATGGTAAAAAAGAAATAAACCTCCTTCCTCAATTTGGAAAAAAAACTGGATAAGAATCCATGACTTTTTGTATTATGGCCTTATAGAAAACTTAGTTGTTATAGACTTGTAAGAAAAAACAAGTTCCTATAGATTTTATATTTCCTATGAAGTATATTTTTTCAATATTTCACTTTAAGTGATTTGAAAGTTTTGAATTAAAATGTTTTTAGAATTGATTTGATATGATGTAAGGTTGAGAAATAAGTATAGAACTTTCTATTATTTTAAATGGGCTTTTCATAATTTTACATAGCAAGGCATCATTTTACAGCATGGTTTCACATGTTGGATGTTGAATATTTAAATGTTATGAAGATTGAAAATACTGATATAAAAGATGATGTGTGAAAATATGTCATATATATAGGCTAACATTAGTCAGTTCTTGCAAGATTTTAATTTTTGCTGATTTAATTTGGTTGAACAAAATATATAGTTGGTTGTTTTTGCACGATATCAATTTTGGCTTTGTTTTCTCAGTAAAGGATGTTTGCTGCTCTGTTACAAAATTACAAGCTTTTTAAAAGACTGCTTAAAATTAGTAGTACATGAATATGAATATCTTGTCCTTGATTTTGAGAAATAAGCCATTGTAAATTTGACAGGCAATTATTCTCTTGATTTTTCATACATTTAACATTAGCATCTTTTTACTTTCAAAAACTATGACAAAATAACAAGGATTTTATAAGATTTTCAAAGTAGGCTTTTTCAACTATATGTGATAAAATTATGAAAAGAAAAGTAGGGGTGAGTGGCCAAAATTTTAAATGGCATTTCATGGATAAAACCAGAGGATTTTGAATATCTGACAAAAAATTAAAACACAATCGGAGAACATCATTAAAAAAATGTTGGTAATGTGAAAACCACCAAAAACTTTTCAGAATATTTAAATCAATGAATTTCAGAGCACTAACATCATAAATTAATCTTTTCAACAACAAAATTTCATGGTCTTAAACTTTTAAAAATAGCCTATATACAGTATTATTGATTTTTTTTACCTGTTAATCTTTCAAAAATAAAAAAAAATATCATGAGTTTACCTGTAGCTTTTTATAAATGTGTCATTTTTAAACAAATTTTATGAAAGTGATTATATAAGTACATATAAATGTATTTTGAATTGTACTGTTTTTGTAGACAATTGTGACTTTATCACAATCTTTTTCATTATTTATTTATATGTTATTTTATTAAGTGTTGTTGATGTTTTTTAAATTTTATATATTAAATATCTGTGATAGTTGCATTTAAATTAAGTATTGTTTTCTACACAGGAATATTAAAAGTCTTTTTGTCATAATCTTGTGTTACTGTCATTTTCTCATTTTCAACACTAGCATGGCATCACTTGGACAGGAGTCTTAACATATATAGTATTGAGACTGGTTTAATTTATTAATAATTTATTGATTGATAAAGACTTAACTTTCAGTGGCAAATATTACATGCATATTCTCGGCAATAACAAGTTCATGTCATGTGAATATACCATCAGTTGTCTTAGACTGACACACTGAGTCAGATTTTGTGTGTATGTGCTATTCATATCACTACGTTATACTTACCTTTTGAAAGGATACACATGCTTAATGACACACTGTATGGCGTGGATGTCAATTGAATAAAGTAACACTTCTGTAACATTAAGGATGTACTTAGGTCAGGTTTAGGAACTTTGGCAGATGTTCTGACTGCTTTGTTTTTTTCCTATGATACAGTGTAAAATATTTTGCTCCATATCACCCATTTTACTTTTCATATAAGACTTCAATAGCTCATAAAAGGTCATTTACCCAAATTTAAGCAGATTCTAGATTTCTTTTCTTTCGATTTGAGACCTAAATAATACCAATGCATATATAAGGTATATAAGTCCGAGTCAGCCTTTTCCTGCCATTTAAAAAAATATAAATATCTCGAAAAGGAGCTCCATAACCTACCAATATTTTTAGCTTATTTTGTTCCTTAACTAATGCTCTTCTGACGTATAGTATCAATTTTAATTTCTAGACTTTTAAAATTTCACCTATGTACATCCTTAATATTTAAGAAAAATGACACCACAGTATATTCTCAGAGCTTGCGAAAAAGTGATAGTGTAACACTGAAGGGTACAACAAAAATAACTGGAATAAATTGAGAATGGAAACGGTGAATGTGTCAAAGAGACAACAACCCAACCAAAGAGCAGAAAACAACCCAAGGCCACCAATGGGTCTTCAACACAGCGAGAAAATCCCACACCGGGAGGCAGGCTTTCAGCTGGCCTCTAAACAATAATGTATACTAGTTCAGCGTTAATGGATATCACACTAAAATCCAAAAAACATAAACAGTAAATGAAACAAAATTTTTTTTAAAATACAAGACTTACAAAGGCCAGAGGTTCCTGACTTGGGACGGGCCGAAAATGTGAAGGGGTTAAACATGTTTTGCTAGATCTCAACCGTCCCCCTATACCTCTAGCCAATAATATTTGTTTAGGTAAATAAACCCATCATAAAACAGAACAAAGTTGTTGAAGGCCAACTATTTATACCTACTGTTACACAAATATCACAAATATCACAAACCACAGTATACTATTTATATAATAATGTGTTTAACATTGACTATGGGAAAATAGTAGCCAGGGTGAGACACAATATTGTCTCTCTCCCTGGCTACTATTTTCCATAGTCAATGTTAAACACAACATTAATATCATTATTATACTGACTGTTTATTATTTCAAATAGTGCTAATTGTGTATTTCTATGTAAAAAAAATGCTTTATAGTATGAAAAGAAGCCCTTTATGTTTTTTCTGCATGTATATATGCTGTCTTAAAGAAAGTTGATTTTGTCTACTTGACTGTTAGAAAGAGTTACAAATAAATAGATTCAAAAGTATGTGTATTGAGGTGAACAGATTGATTTTAACTCTTTCTGAATATTAATCATTATTGAGTAGTTAAACAAGTAGAATTTTGCTTAAGCTGGTGCTAGAGGTTGTCTTAAACTTGTTATGAAGTACCTATATTTTGCTCAATTTTGAAGGCATGAACTCATGTTGACTTCAAGATGAAAAAGTACCAAAAAGACATCGTGTCATAGCTTTGATTGCTATGTCAAAGCAACTAAGCTCCGCCTTTGCACGTGAAATTGAAAATGACTGACATGAAAATCAATAGTCTGTTGCAACAGCAAGGCATACTATTTTCGCATAGTGCAGTTATATATTTCTTTCAAAAACTATGCAAAAATAAAGCAATTTTACTATAGAAGGACATTCTTACAGGAAGTATAATAATTATTAATAAGATAGATGTTGCAAAGCAAGTTACCATTAAAAAGGATTAAAATACCATACATTAAAGAAAGACCAACATGACCATAACCATTGAAAAAAAAGGATGAACAAACAGTCCACAATACTACAGAGAAACAAAAGATTGGACAATATGAACTATATCAAAGACAGAAATTAAGGTCAGCAGCTCAACCTGCAGTGAATCTGCTCTCCTTAATTAAAAAGACTGGAAACAACTGACAAAATATTATTTATTGAATTTTATAAAAGTACAGTTTTTAATACGAATTTTTTCTGCCATCTGATAAATATATTAAGGAATTCTTTCTTCTTGAAGAGACTTTGGATTGAAAGACATAGGGAGCAGTTCTTCTGCTGTTACTCTCTTTACTGTTAGGTCAGGCTTTACCATGTATATATCCATCTTCATGTTGAACTGCAAATACAAGGAATCAACATGATAATAAGGGAGCTACCATTTGATTTTATGGGGGGCTAGGATGAAACATTTTGTCCTGCATTTTTTTCAGTTGTAATCTCTATCCTGCTTTTTTATTTTTCACTCTATTCAGTCCTGCCTTTTTTTATTAGTTTATCCTGACTTTTTACATAAATTGTCATCCTGCCTTTTTTTTTGCCAAGTTGCTCATCCTGCCTTTTTTTTTTACTCAAAACTCCTGTCCTGCCTGTTTTTTCAAATTTCATCCTCCCCCCCCCCCCCCCATAAAAATCAAATGGTAGCTCCCTAAATATACTGCTTAATTGATTCTTGTACTATAAAAAATAAAATTTGGTTGAAATAGAGGATAACAAAATACCAGGCAAAGAAAACTAGAAATTAAAAAGAGCAGCACAAATATTTTATACATCCCAAAGATCTCTTCAAGAAGATGATTAGTGTTAACATCCTGTGGTAAATATAAAAGCTTCAATGATACAAAAATTAATGATTGCTCATACGAATTATAAAGTCCTCTTACAGAAGGATATACAATCTCCAAAATACCTTTTCAACACAACCTTCCCCTCTTATTGAGCCAACGTGAACACATCGTTAGAAAGTCACATGGATATATTAAGATCATGCAACAAAGATGTTCATATAATGACTTCAACACTATTTGTTTATCAATGGTAATCCGGTATAAACTGGAACAGAACGAAAAGTTTGCTTAAAAGGATGTATTTAGGTGAAATTAAAAAAATCTATCATTTAAAATTGATACTATAAGTCAGAAGGGCATTAGTTTAGGAACAATATAAGCTAAAAAAATATTGATAGGTTATGGAGCTCCTTTTCGAGATATTTTTTTTTTTTAAATGGCGGGAAAGGGCTGACTCGGACTTTTACCTTATATTTGCATTGGTATGATTTGGTCTCAAATCGAAAGAAAAGAAATCTAGAATCTGCTTAAATTTTGGTAAATGACCTTTTATGAGTTATTGAAGTCTTTTATGAAAAGAAAAATGGGTGTTATGGTGCAAAAATTTTTACCCTGTATCGTAGGAAAAAAACCAAGGAGTCCGAATATCTGACAAAAATTCCTAAACCTGACCTAAGTACATCCTTAAAAAAGAGGTAATGCCACTTCTGGTGGAACAATTCTTTTAATACATCCTGTCCTTTTATATGATCTGACCAGTAGTCAAAAAATGGTTCATTATTTTCATTTACCTGGGTTTAAAGTTATTGCAAATGAATGGTATTTTTGTTCGAGCATATTGTTTTTCTTTAATTGTTTAACATTTCTTACCGATATAACATGTTACTTTTATTATTCTTCCCTTAGTTTATTTATTTTGTATTTACATTGTGTCATAGGTCAAATTTATTTGTTCAGTGTATGTTCAATGGTGTTAATATGTCCTTTGATTGAGTTAAGCTATTTCAGTTGATATTTTATAGTGTGTCTTTCTATGTTGTGATGTTACACTATTGTTTCAGAAAAAGGGTGAAGGTTTGGTACCATTAAAACGTTTAAACCCGCTGCATTTGTTTGCACCTGTCCTAAGTCAGGAATCTGATGTTCAGTAGTTGTCGTTTGTTGATGTGTTTCTCGTTTCTCGTTTTTTATATAGATTAGACCGTTGGTTTTCCCGTTTGAATGGTTTTACACTAGTAATTTTTGGGGGCCCTTTATAGCTTACTGTTCGGTGTGAGCCAAGGCTCCATGTCGAAGACCGTACTGTGACCTATTATGGTTTACTTTTATAAATTTTTACTTGGATGGAGAGTTGTCTCATTGGCACTCATACCACATCTTCTTATATCTATTCAATATACTTTTTGATCTTTTTAACTAATACTTCACTAAACTAAAGGCTCTAAAGAGTCTGTGTCGCTCACCCAGGTCTACGTGCATATTCAACAAAGGACACTCTCTAACATTGTAGACAAGAATAGAATTCATGACAAAAATCTCTGTTTTGTTTGATCTTGTATTGCTGATCATTTAGTCTGTTTGGTTTCTCTCCGTCTTCTTTAGTTTTTGCTCAAAACACAAAAGAGGGTAAAAAAAAAATCCGCATTTAAGGGCAATCACTCCTATAAAGAGTGACAGTCTACTAACTATATCGGCAAAATGTGATTTGTTAGTAGATCTTGCCTTGCTGATCATTTTTGTGATTTAAAGTGTCTACTTATCTACTAAGTACTAGTATTATGATTTTTATCATATAAGGCAAAACGCAAAAAGAATGGTAAAAATTGTCATTAAATGCAATAACTCCAATAAAAAGTCGTCAGACGATTTCCTCCGTATTGTCTTAACTGTAGATCTTGTCTTGCTGATCATTTTTGCTTATTTAAATTTCTATCTATCTATTATCATTTTTAAGATATAAGTCAAAAACGCAAAAAATTGGTAAAAATCGTCATCAAAGGCCAATAACTCTAATAAGGAGTCGACTGACGATTTCGATCATTCAACTTATTTGTAGAACTTGTCTTGCTGATCATTTTTGTAATTTAAAGTTTCTCTCTATCTATTATAGTTTTCAAGATAATAGACAAAAATGAAAAAAATGATAAATTTTGTCATTTAATGGCAATAACTCCTATAAGAAGTCGTTTACAGTTTTGACGTTTATGAACAATTAGTAGAGCTCATCATTCTAAACATGTTTGTACCGTCAGATTTTCTCTATTTATAACGGTTTTCAAAATAATAGACAACACTTGCATTTTATCCCTATGTTCTATTTTAAGCCATGTCGGCCATCTTGGTTGTCAGGCGGAAACATTTTTAAAAATAGATACTCCAATGATGACTGTGGCCAAGTTTGGTTAAATTTTGCCTACTAGTTTCAGAGAAGAAGATTTTTATAAAAGTTAACAAACGACGACGACGACGACAACGACAACGACAACGACGACGACGGACGACGGACGACGGACGACACACGCCAAGTGATGAGAAAAATTTACCTGGCCCTTTGGCCCTTTGGGCCAGGTGAGATAAAAAGTAGAGCAAACATTTTTGGAGGAAAATTAAACATGTGTAAAATTAATAATAAGATGAAAATAACATTATATGTTCTTCTTTTGAATATTTACTATCGAAAACATTACAACAAAAGACATGACAATTTAATTTTTCTTTTAATAAATGAATACATATAATATATAATAAAGAAAATTAAAGAAAAACTTTGACAGAAATTATCACTTTACCCAAAATTTCTCTTTTATAATTATCAAGTCAAGTTTAATTATTATAATAAACTAGTCAGTAGTTCCAAAAATAATCGTTTGAAAAGGAATTTTAATCTAAACTAGCAGTATACTAAATTTAAACTGTTTTGATTTTTCTTCCTTGCCCATGTTGAAACTAAGAACACGTCTGTGTTCTTCTCTAATCTAAGAAATCTTCCCTTTGTTTGCCAATGTTGAAGCTAACTACATGACTGTGTTATTCCCTAATTTTAGAAATCTTCCCTTGCCAATGTTGAAAGCTAACAACCTGACTGTGTTATTCTTTATTTGAGAAATCTTTTCTTTTAGAATTAGAGTTAAATATTGCATCATAAGTGGAATTGATACTTTAAAACATGCTCATAGAAAGATATAAAGCATACCTCTACAAAAAACTGTCTGCAGGCTCCACACGATCCTTTAAACTCATTCTTCACATCACTGAAAATATTGGACAAGTACTTTAATTTGATGGCCATTATGAAGTGAGGTAAACAAGTTTTGAAAATCATCATCTTACTGATCTACTAGTAATTGATTGGTTGTTTGGTGTTTAACGCCACTTTCAGAATTCATGGCAATCTTATTGGCGACGGAAACCGGAGTGCTATACAGATCAAATGTAAGACTTTTTTTAGACGATTTACGAACAAATAAACATATAGTATTCCTAAAAATATTATGGGCAGTGTATCTTGATAGATATAGTCAGAGACATATAATACAATGTCTCTGATATAGTGTATGCTTGATCGTATATCCTGACACTTGTTCTTTTAAACAATGTTAATTGTTGTTGGGCAACAACTGAATGAATTCGTAAGAAAAAGTAATTTCGTAGGAAGATTTCACCATTTTTTACGCAACTTTAAAAACGTATTCTTCAAAGTATGCCATTATCGTTGAATATAAATGCCTATTGAATGTTCGTTTTACTGCAAAACCAAGATGCAAGATTTTCGACTCATTGTTAAATGAAGATCTTCGATTAACATCCAATGAGGTCACATTTGTATATTGTATATTTTTCAATTTAGAATTATTATGTTAGGGCATCAGGGAATGTTAGCTTTATAGTTGCTACATTTTTTTGTAACTGTGGTGTAATCTTAAGACTAAGTCTTCAATTACTTACTTACTCTCTTAAAGCGTCAGTCTTAAAGCCTTGAGACAAAAACAAAATGAAAGATGTCATCACGCATGTTTCGTGTATCAGCATATTGCAAATAAATTATACTTTCAAATACACTACAAAATGTTATCAGGTTATCAGTCACGTATAAAATCTTACCAATTTACTGCTATTGCTTTTATATTTTTTTTCCCCTCGGAAATAGCTTTACAAATGGCGACTCTCTCAGCACAGATACTCAAACCATATGATGCATTTTCTACATTAGCGCCTACAATCATTCGAAAAAGGCAATAATGTCTTTATGCCATTCTTATTGTTACAGTACAGTTTAACAATGATATCTGAATATCAATTTTATCTTCATGTTCTCGATATATTGTGTCTTTGCACACTTATCAATACGTTCCTGATTGATATTATAAAGTCGTTTGCAGGGCAACTAATGACACTTTTTACAGAAAGTTTTTACGGCTGTTTTATATGATTTGCAGATTACTTGATGATCTTCCGGCAAATGGAGAATAATTAATGACCTTCCAGCAATTCACAACAATTTTAAAGCCCACATCTATGGTTATAACTCAACATGTGGTTTAGATCACTTTTGGCCTTTCTTGGCTCCTCATGTGTATTTATACACCCTTGACTGTAATTTTTTGGTGATTTGAGCGTTCCTAACAATGAAAAATTTAGTAAAGCGCTTGGACACATCAAATTCATAAAATGTTGCTTTCATTTACTAGCACTGGTTCGATACCCCTGTTTATCAAAATATACCTCTCTCAATACTCCGTTGATAAATTTAAATAGTATAAGGAAACTATAAAGTAAAAAGTCCATCAGGAAATGTTAGATTTGTCTATTCTTTTTATTATGTCTCTTTTAGTCATATATAGCTCACCAAGTATTCAAGTATAAACAAATAAATATTATTTAAATCCTGATGAAGGTAAACCCAGGAAAGGGCTTCTGACTCACCAATTTTATTAAATGTTACTTTGACATAGGTCGGGGCCATATGTAGTTTTACTTTTGGTCGTCATTCCGTCATTCCGTCATTCCGAAACGAACAGTTATATGGACTGTTTTCTAATCGCCTTCACATATTGAGCTGATTTTTGCTATGATGAGTTACAGATCGAGATTACGTTTGGTTCTGCTCCGCTAATTTTTGCCGAAATTACGGACTTTATACTTTGAAAATTTCGTGAAAATAACAGTTATAATGAGTTTTTTTCTAACCGCCTTCACATATTGATCTTATTGTAGTATGTCTACTAGATCGAGATTACGTTTGGTTCAGCTCTGCTGATTTTTGCCGAATTTACGGGCTTTGAACTTTGAAATTTCCACTCATAAAAATGCCTTCAAACTTTTTTTGCAAGCGCGGCCAGTCGTGTCGTTCCGACACATCTAGTAATCGAGGATTTATTTGTCTTTATTTACATCCACCATATATCCGTTGCTCTTCCGTTTAATATATTGCTTTCGTGTTGTTAATGTATTGAACACATTCGTCAGTTAGTCACTCTTTCATCATATGGCCGAGTTCTTATGCTTTTATTTATTTTTTGGAAAATTACAATTTTGATTATAGTCGTACCTACAACGAGTTGGATACAATTAAAACGACGGAAAAAACGAGGAGGGAGCTTTCAAAATTCCTATAAAAATAAAATTGGTATACCAAAATAAGTGTCTACCAAAGACGCGAGGAGAAAACAATCGCCGAGTACATGATGAGATGCGTTTCTGGATGAACCTTTATCAGTCATGCACGCTCAAAACTAAAATGTTAAAATAAAAGCTTGAGAGAGATATATATAGAGAGGCAGAAGAAACCAAAGAGATCGCCGAGAACATGAGATGCGTTTTTGGATAAACCATCATCAGCTACTCACGCTCAAAACCAAAAAGTTAATTTACAATAAAAGCGAGAGAGAGAGAGAGGCAGATGAAACAAAAGGGTTATTCACCTATAAGTCGAAGACAAATTGACAACGCCATGCCAAAAAACGAAAACGTTCAAAAGATAAACAATAGTCTACAAGATATAACATAATCATAAAAACTAAAGACCGAGCATTACAAACCAAAAACAAAACCAGGGGTGTTCTCGGTTGCTCCAGAAGAGTAAGCATCTTTCTCTACACGTAGCACCAGTTGAGTTGCACAAGTATACGAAGGGCAAATTCGCTGATGTCAACTTCGAAGGAAAGAGGACAATCAAATGAAACGATTTACATATAAAAAACAAAACCAAAGAGCCTTTATAAAACGGTTAAATATCGCGCGTGACAAAGGTCATCGATCTTTGTCTGAAGGAATAACAACCAACCTAGTAATTCGTCAGAATGCTGAAAAGCAGATGCCATCGACCTTAAACTATTTATATGAAGAAAAAAAAAACAACAACCAAACAACAAATAGCAAAGATCACTGTTACAGTATAGGTTTCGAACATTGTAAGAACTCAACTACTGTAGGCTTTACCACTAAAATAACGAAGTCCAGTCTGTTAGCCAGCATGACGTAAAAACGACGAATCAAAGAATTCAACTTTATATATAACTAATTTAGACAATGGTGTTGATTAAAAATTACACCATTTCAGGCACTTTCGTTTTCCACATTGATTAATATTATAACAAGTTCGGGCCCAATAGTACCTGTTATCTAATCTGTACGTTCCGCCTCTTTCAGGCGCACCACCAAACGGTGTATTTTGGATTTGCTATATACACGGGTCATAATCACACCTGAACTTCGTCGACAGGGATTGACACTACTAAATTCAATTATTGACCAAAAAAATATATATATCTGTAGTTTCCGGTTGTAGTAAGAAAACCAGGACGGATTCAAACAGAAAGATTTTGAAAGCAGAGAAAATTGTGCACCTTATAATCAGCATGACTTTATCAAATGACAATACGAATACTAAAAATCCAGGATGTAAATAAGGCGTAGAATTCAGTCACGGAACCGCGATGTCGCGTGTGTGTCCTAGTTTTAATTAAAATAACACAAGATAATCAATAAGTACAATTATGCTAATATTTACCTGAAAATATGTGTCCATCTTCTGTTAAAACAGCTGAACCCACATGAAAATCACTGTATGGACAGTATGCATTGTCTTTGGCCTTCACTGCTGCATTAATTAAGTCTTGGATAGGTTGATCTGTAATTATAATGCTGGTCTATTTACTTTATACTACACTAGTAGGGACCCACAGAGATTACATTGATGGTCTTGTTTTAATATGTTATACTTTGTGCAGATGAAAAAGATTAATGATCATATGTAGGTATTTTTAAACCGCAGAAATCGTACAAGTTTGTTCCACATTTCCTACAAGACAGGCGCGTTGCTACGTTTACGTCAAAACGCCCGAGCGTGCACAATAATTTCGGAGGGAAAATAAATCTCATCCAAATAAATTAAAGAAACTGTTTTGAAGCACACGAGCAATTAGATTGTAATGCTTTTTTCAATGACTACAATTGAAGCCATAAAAGTGACGAAATTTACTTTTAAATTTCAAATGGTATCAAATGATATATTTGTTCATTTTCTGTCAAACTTTGAATTAACAGTGAATATTCTACTCAGATTACTTTTGTTTAAAGCAATTTAGTATCTGCTGGAATACTATATGCGTGGCTTGCATTTTTATGTTACACCTGACCATCTATGAAAATTAATCATTTCATGCGTCCATTAACGACATTTCCCGGGAAAAAGGTGTGAAAATTGTATGAAGTTAAAATAATTAATATAGAACTTGTTTTTTTTTCAATTTTTATAAAGTCTTGATTTTTTTGTCTATTGATTGGTTTACCCAACATCTTCTTTTAAACATATTCTAAAGTAACCGGTTTGGACATTTTTCTCTAAAGCAAAGGACAATTAGAGTCCAAACCAAAACAATGAAATCAACATGAAAAAAAACCCCAAACAAATCAAATTTAAAAAGAGAGGCTAAAGATACCAAATGTATATTCAAACTCATTAGTTGAAAACAAACTGACAATGTCATTTCAAAAGACGAAAAACGTCGAAAAGACAAACAGTATATAAAAGACAACATAGAAAACAAAAGACTAGGCAATACGAGCCCAACCTAAAACCGGGGGTGAACTCAGGAGCTCCAGAAGGGTAAGCGTGTCCTGTTCCACATGTGGCACCCGTCGTATTGCTCATGTAAGTAAAAACTCGGAGATAAGTCTTATTCGGAAATTCAAATTCGAAGAAAAGAAGACGGAATTGTGGTTACAACAATGGAACATGTTTGTCGTCAATTGTGAAACAGTCAACCAACTCGTGATAGCGATCTTAAAATTTCTAAAGGGATGCTTTCAACTTCACCACTTGCAACACTTGGTTTAAAAGCTTCCTAGTAGAAATCTTCTTCAAGGAAATGCAAGTTTTAAAATATCGTATCAACTGGGAGATATATACACATATCAAACGTCTACTGGAATGTTGCTACCTTGAAATTGAAAGTTCACAACTGGGAAGCTGAAATCATCTCTATGTAGTAAAGTTTTGTGTTTTCAACCGACAAAGTATGTTGCTATTGATGAATTTTTAATGACAGAAATGGTCTCTTTTTCAGGATAACACGTGAGCTTCCAGGGGTTTCGCCCTCTACTTGGAGGTCCTCTGCCCTGGGGCCGCTGGGGACCTTCAGACCTTTTGCCGAGGCTTGGGCGTACACTTAAAAATGGCATCGCTACGCCACTGTAAGTGGTTAATTCTATTTTGAATGGACCAAGTCGTAAGAGCTGATATACAACATTTTCAGGATTCAAAATGTTGGGATAATTGATATACGTCGAGAACATATCTATACAAATTTAATCAGGACCGAAAGATTTTATTTAAGATAATATTACTGTATACCTATTTGATTATACATGTGTGAACGAGTATTTGTTACACCCTCCCCTTGTGTGTCTAAATGACACCGGCTATAACGATTCGCCTAAAACGAATGCATCAGTCATAATTTGAAGTTCTGACAAACATAATGATCAAAATTCACTGTGAGTATACAGACACTTGCAAAAGTTTTAAAGCGTGACTTGGCCAATATATATGAAAAAACAATATGCAATGTTGGGTTCAGCAAATTAAAAAAAAACAAATTAAGAATTTGAGATTAACTTTTTTGTCAAGCCTGAAGAAGATGCTAAAACGAACAAACAAACACTTGAATTTCATATGATTTAAAACACCTATTGTTGTGCAGATATCTGTGTCCTCTATTGTTTATGTAGACATCCGACATCGGACACTCCTAGCTCGTCCCTTAACATCAAAAAAATTTCCCCCTCCGGCTTGGCTTATTTTTGCACCTTCTGTCGAAACGAAAAAATATGCACATCAAAATCAAGGAAAGATTTAAATTTCTTGAAACAGAAAATGCATTTAAATTTTTTTTATCTAGGTCCATGCTAGAAAACTGTTTTACGTTGCACAGGTTTGTCTGTACTCAGAATAAATTAGGTAGATCGATGTAAACAGCACCATGTTTGCCAAAAGGCTAAGCTGAACCGCAATGTAGATGTAGCGACATTTCTGCATTATGTAAAATTAACAATAATACGATGTATAACTCGAAACACTTACCTAATGACTGAAAATTCATTGTACACGTGGTCATAAAAACAACAAAAAGATAATATGTACCTGTAAAGTGTATTATTATGTTTGTCACGCCACCCGTACAAGGTTAATGGTTACACACATTTAATTTCCTTTTGAATAAAAAGAGTTGTAGAGTATACGTCAATAAGACAGCAACTCAACGACGAAATCAGTACACAATAAACATTAAGTCATCTACATGTATTCATGGAATATATATATCACGAGTGAGCATCTAGCACGACCCTAACACCCCCAAATTCAAACACCAATGCAAATGTCACCTACGGTGTCTAACTCTTATGATCCTAAATCTAGATATGTTGTGAGTTAATTTTTGTTTTATCTGACAATACCAAAGATCTCATTTTTATACTAAATTTCTTAATGTAAAAAAAAACTAAATAAATATAGCAAACACATTGACTTTTAACGGACACTTGGTTGATTGATTGATTGATTGATATTTGCTTGCTCGGCGTCTAGTGGCAAACATATTTTTTAGCAAATTTAGGACGAGAACAAATGGTACAAAAGGTAGCTTTGTTCTGCAATACAGGTCGACCGGGATGTAGGGCCGAAATTTTGACTGTCTCTGGAAAATTTGGGTATGTTGGATAAAGCAAAAATGTTGCCGTGCATCTATAAGGCCACACCAATCTGATTAATAGTTCTTTGGATTTTCCCGCTCCTGTTTTGGGGAAATTTACTTTTCAATAAAAGAAAATAAAAAAATTACAGCTTCTGCGAATTTTTGGTCCGCATGCCGCTCCAAAATTATTTTCTCCATGAAATTTTTTTTCACATAGACGCTTTTCTGTTGCATATAATGCTCCTATTGTTTTGAAAGCACGTGCGATAAATCAATTTGTAAATAAATGGTCAATAATCGGGATGCCAACATGCAGTTGCGTCAGCTCATTGCCGTTAACAAGTAGTTATTGAACACACAGTTATCCGAAATGCATCTCGTTTTACCTTTAAAGAACTGTTGTAGGATGCAAAAATTAAAATTCGTTCATTCTAGATGACCACAAACACATCCAAATATTTGTTAGAACCATCGTCACCCCCGATCCTTGTTTCAACAGACATAGACCTATCTATCTTTTGGGTGAAATGAATTGTAAAATTCCATGAACTTTTTTAAAAAATCACATAAGTATTTGATATTGATGAAACCCCATATCCTCTTGTTAGTCTTTTGGCATGCAAGCAGAAGTCTTCTTTTGTTAGAGGGAATTTAAAGAGATCCAACAAGACCAAGGTGATGCCGTATTGTGATTGAAATGCTCATAATAATAAGGGGTGTGTAATTAGTTCAACCACTTCTAGTCGAGCTAAAGAGTTTTAAATGCATTACAGCTTTTAGGAGCAAAAGAAAAGAGTATTTTGCTCAGTAAGAAAAGTTCATGTGAATGGGGTGACGGGTATTGTAAGGGAATATTTTAATACATTTGGATCTATAGATATAAGAAGATGTAGTATGAGTGCCAATGAGACAACTCTCAATCCAAGTCAAAATTTATAAAAGTAAACCATTATAGGTCAAAGTACGGTCTTCAACACGAAGCCTTGGCTCACACCGAACAGCAAGCTATAAAGGACCAAATAAATTACTAGTGTTAAACCATTCAAACGGGAAAACCAACGGTCTAATCTATATAAAAAACGAGAAACGAGAAACACTTATGAACCAATACATGTAAAGCAATATAACTAACTATCTTACTCAGGATTTTGTTTTAGTACAAAGCAAGAAATATTCACCTCACTCATTGTTTTGATCCTAAGTATGCACAGATAGTTCCAACTGGATGTCAAGCAGCCAATGAATAAAGGCAACAGTAGTATACCGCTATTCAATAGTCATAATTCGATTAAGCAAAAACAAATCCGGGTAACAAACTAAAACCAAGGGAAACACATCAACTATAAGAGGAAAACAACGGAACAACAGAAACACTGAACTACAGCAATAAACAATCATTACCATATAATGAAAAGTATCAAATATCTTACAGGGGCATTTTATTGGATACATACACATATTTTAATTTTATTCAACATGTGTCATTTACCTAACTAACATACTTCCTCATATATGAACTGCATCTGCTATGCTTCCTAAAAATATATTTGGATTTAAATCAAAATTCACATAGACACAACTTACCTGAAGAAAATATTCAAAACTAACTAAACCACAGTGAGACAAGAAAGTCTGATATGGTACAGGCACCAATAAATCAAATTATATGCATTAGAGCATTTGTTGCTCTTCATTTTTCTATGAAATAACCCAGTTATAACATGTACATAAATTGTACAACTTCTAAATCACACAATTAAAAAAAAATTATACCGCTCGCTTCACTTGTAGAGCACTAGCCCACCCCCCCCCCCCCCCCAAAAAAAAAAAGAAAAACCTCATTTTCAAGAAATACATAAAACACAAAAAACAAAATTCGCTCGTTCGCCCCATATTTTTTGGAGCTTTTGTCCGAAGAACTATTAATCAAATTGGTGTGGCCTAAGGACCTCTCACAGAGTCATTACAAAGGTTACTTAACGTGCAGTGCAGGAAGCCTGACAAGCACTATACACGAGGCATCGGTTTAAATCAAGGGATCTCGGTGGCCAAGTGGTCTAAGTAGTTTAAATACTGTATCATTAGTCTGTCAACACTGAAGTTATAAGTTCGAACCCAGCACGTGGCAAGTGCATTCGACTCCAATCTTAATTGACTAGGATTGTCAGTTTGCCTGCCGAAGGTCTGTGGTTCTCATCGGCTTCCTCCAACAGTACACACTGGTCGCCAGAAAATAGCCAATAGTGCTGAAGTGGTGTTAACACCAATCAATCAATCAATCGAATTTAATGTCCTCATTCTGACCGAACGTGGATGTGTATTCATTCATTCCGCATAAACGAACGCCCCACTACTAGTCAACCCTTGGGGTGGCGGAAAGATGGAAATGTGACGGGGGATAGTTAAACTAGTTTAAAAAGTAATTTATAGTATGCACTTTTAACCTCAACTGAAACTAACAAATTGAATTTACTTAAGCGTCATTATAAATATATTCCATTAGGACAAGATTTTGAGAAAGTACGTTAAACTTTGTTCTGCTATTTTCTAAAATAAAATAATATAATTTTTATATCTTTGAATTTCATCAATATGTACTGATTACAATGTAATGAGTGATAGGGATGAGCCGCAGGTCACCCATTCAAGCTTTGTATTATATAATAAGGGCGAGAAATTAAGATGACATATCTCATGCATGAGGTTGCTGACGAACTCATAAGCATATGAAACAAATCAAAATTCGATTATTTTTCACAGATGAAATTAAATACATCAGATATTTGTCAAATCTATTTATCTCTCCATAACATAGGAAATCATAATGGTTAAATTTATGATCGAGTATGTAATTTTGTCATTAAAAATATATATGAAAATCATGGTGAACTGGTCTCATCTGCTTATTCAAAGGGAATGAAATTTGCCATCCGGAAGTCCATGATATGAAAGTGTTTAAAACGTGAATTCCAATTTACATTCCATATCGGTATATATACGAATGATACATTATACCAATAACGATAATTAAATCTAAATTTAAATGACTCAAATTATTGGTCCGAACTATTGAGGAGAAACAAATTCTTAAGATGAATGGTAGACTATGTCCAATAACCACGAGGAATGAACCTTTATTTTCTACAATAATGACCATTGAATAAAAATATAATTATTCAAAACCAACGCCTTGATAAAGAATTTTCCCACATTCCGAGTCTGACGTCTTAACCTTGACCACTACTTTCCGTCAATATTGAGCCGTAACGGAACCAATCGCTTGGTACATCTTGCACATCTTATGTACTACTTTTTTTATATTTATTTGGATGAAAATTTCAGGAAAAGGAATAAATTAAATATAGAATTCAAAAAATGAGAACATTTATTCATCGTGCACCTACATAAATATTTATTGAAAAGATTTTATTGAAATTGAAAACACCAAGCGAACGCAGAGTAATTCTTATAAGCTGATAATGCAAGAGACATTGCCAAATTTGATGATAAACTTTTGACTAATAAATATAAATTTAAAATGTTGAATCCATATGAACTAATTTATCAAATTGGAGATAAAAGTTGGCTAACCATATTAACGCTTTTAAAATCAATGCACAGTCGTAGGATAGATCATTCATATGATAAAGCCCTTAATCAGTATACAATTTAAAATTACTCATAATTTTGAAGGAAACGGTATATTATGTGCATATTTTGAAATGTAAAGTTGCCATTTTTCACCAATGAATATTAAGGTAAGTTCTCTGAACGGACTGTAAGTATTTAAGAAAATAGTCATTGTTGAAAACATATATATATATTCCTAAAATGGTTACAAAAAAGATGCAGGCGACAACAAGGCGACAATAAAATATTATAAGTCATAAGAGAGAACAGAACAAAAGCATGTCCAAAGAAACAAAGAAGTCTTCAAAATCACTACACAGAATACTAATGACCGAGCAATATGAACATCACCACAATCCCGGTGTTAAGTCGGGTGCTTCGGTCCTGCTACAGCAGTGGCACCCGTGGTGTTCGTCATGGCAAGGACAATTTCGGTGATAAGTCGGATTGTGGCTACGACAATAGGGACTAGAAGTAGATTTGGTTTAAAAGTGTCCTCCGTGATAGAAAACGAAATCTCTGGGATATCGTTATTTTAACTGGGAAATGTGCAGGATATGCGGTCGCTGCACAAATGTTTCTACATACAAATGAATATTTCACAATTCGAGAGCTGAATTAATATTCCATAGAAATGCCTATTGTCTGTTGAAAAAAACACACCCTCCAAACGTAACACATATGTTGTTATTAAAAAAACCAAGCATCTCGAAATTAATCAGATGAAAGTTTGTACCAATCTATCGGGATTTATAAATAAGCAGCCGTGTCCGATTAAACAATGTTGATATTAAATCTTATCGATCACACAAATTCGTTTTCGTGTGC